GATGTAAAGTCTCATCCTGTCACGTTTGGTTTTTGTGTGCAGGTGTTTGTGCTGCTGTTCATCTTCGTCAAAAGGCAAATAATGCGTTTCGCCATGAGATCGCGCCGAGGACCCCACGCACCGATTGGCCACAATGCACCGAAGGTACAAGCGGATCTCCTCCTTTTGGGAGCTTGTTCGCCCCCGTGTGTTGTCAGACAGCAGTTGAATATGCAGCAGCTGCAAGAGTTCACGTATCTGTGTCTTCATGAATTCATTCACAGGGTTTGAAGGAGCAGATTGACTCCAGGCTGTCCAAGGTGCAGGAGATCCGCTTCGAACCTCGTCTCCTATCAGAAGAAGATGACAGGCTGAAGCAAGGATCACAGATAAGTCAGTCACTTTATCGGCTCATCCTGCTGCCACCTGAATCTCGTTCTAGTGTTTTATTGTTTTGTGGGTTTTTTTCCACATTGTAACAAAGACCTGTTTGTTTCAAAGGTTGCTACAACTACCTGTACAGAATGAAAGCTCTGGATGCGATCCGGGACTCAGGTGAGAGATCAGATCCGATGCTCAGACTTATTGACTCTGCAGGTGTCTATAATTCACATCACATAACTGAATCCATTATTCTGACACTCATTACTGTCATTTCTCACATTCACTTCACCTCTCATGGAGAAGCAGCAGTTCAAACAGCTTTTCATCTCTTAATTTGTATACATTGTGTGTTGTGTTAATATATTTCTTAAATCTGTTGTTCTTATCTTATATAGTATGCTCTGTGAGTTTACCAAATCATGGTTTTTTTTGCAGTGACCCAATTTCCCCATGCAGAGTACTGAAATTTCATCTTCAATTCTTGTTCCTTCCTGTTTGGACCTCAGGTATTCCTCTGCAGGAGATAAGCCGGAGTCCCAGTGCGTTTACAGGGCGCAGCTTCAGGAGCTGGCTGCTGGAGCTGCGCAACTCCCACTCTCTGATCAAGAGCAGCCGCAGCGCGCTCATTGACCGTTTGCTTGAAGGCTACGACAGCGCTCGCCATGGGACTGGGGTGCGTAGTGTTTTTGTGTTTGACTGATGAAAAGAGAATATAAGAATAATAACTGAATATAATGGGTTTAGCTGTTATTATGTAACATGCTACTGATCTTTAACTTTAACTTTTTTGTTTCAGGTGTTTGGGGAAGCTGAGTTTCTTGAATACCAGCAGGCTCTCAGCGAACTAGCTGATGTGTAAGTGCTCTTATACTGGTCCAGACTTGAAATTGTTGTAACATTGTTGGAACAAGTTTTCCAAATCTGCCTTTCTCACAGACAGGGCGTAGTTCAGTTTTAAGTACTAAAAATCAAGTGGTGATAAAACTGTGTCCAGATTTAGAGTTCATTTAACACAGCCAGTCATTTTATAAGTACTTGTTAAATGTGCCTTACGATCAGCTAAATGTATCATAGGATATCTTTGTAAAATATTGTAAAAACATTTGCTGCGAAAACAAATAGGCTGCTATAGTCTGCTTGCTACCTTCTACAAAATGTTCATTCATTATGAGCACACTCATACATATAATTTTCCATAATAATCCCCATTTTCTCTCACCTCCCGCAGGGTGAAGGCCTATTCCAGCACCACCAGCCTGGACCAGCATCACCAGTCTGCAGCCAAAGATCTGACTGGCTCTCCTGTCCGTAGCACTCCCTCCACCATCCAGGTCACCTACCTGCCCTCCACTGGCCAGCGCAGCAAGAGGCCCAAACACTTTCTGGAGCTCAAAAGTTTTAAAGACAACTATAACACACTGGAGAGCACCCTGTGAGAGTCTGCTGCTACAGACTGACTGTGTGTGTGTGTGTGTGTGTGAGTGCACAATGGTTACACAGTCTACTGGGAAACAAGAAGTTGTAACATATTGTCACTTTTTTTTTAAATTGAGCTTTAAAAATAGATCCATAAATGATGTTACACAGTAACAGTAATTTCAGATAGGACAGGGTCTATTGTGAATAATTCCATACACAATATTTTTCAAGTCATTTAATTATGTAGAAAAAGAAATATCTCGTTTTATAACTAAAGTCTTGCCATCACAAGATTGTTTCTCTCATTAAATGAAGTCCTTATGTGTATTTGTGTCACACCAAGGTCTTATTTTTGACCTAATGGGCGCGTTCAGAGGACAAATATGATTGTAACCCACTCGACAAGGTTTTCATTGTCATTTTTGTAAAAACAGGAAAGTAAATGGCAATTCGCTTGAATTTTATTTTTTCTTAGAAGTCAGATGTAAATATGATTTACCTTGATGAGTGTTTGTACGGATGTAAGATATTTATACCGACCATAATAACTTATTTAATTGATATTGTTTGTTATTTTTTTTTTAAATTCATGTGAGGTTGTACACTTTTGTGGTTTGAGATAAAAGCCTTATGACCCTCTCTTCATATTCAGTGTCTTTAATATCTCCACTAGGTGGCAGTACACGGTCATAGAGTAAAGATGCAACAACAGATGGTAAAAGGTTTGTAAAACTCCATGGATGAACCCAATATTTCATAATATTGAATTAAAAAATGACAAAGTGTACAATAAAAGGACAAGACTGAACTTCAATATATTTATCTACAATGTTCACAGTAAATGGTTACTTTATAAAAATGTTCATCCTGCATTACAACAGAAGGTATTGTACAGAAAAAAACAGCAAATTCCACACAATGCAAAAGTATGTAAATAAGTACATTTATCAATTAAATCACAACAACTTTTTTTAAATATACAATATTTTAGCAGAAAACAGGATATATAATGTTGAGGCAGCACATGGCAGCGTAGATGAGATTTATGATTTCAACTAGCCTTAATATTTACAAGTATCCTCCAACGTAACTAAAATAAAGGTCAAAATTCTAAGCACTATCACTCTTATTATATCTGACCCACTCTAATGTTGGAGAAATATATTTAAGTTAAACATAAATCATATTCCAACGTTGACATAGCCAACTGCGTGCCTGCCTTTGGCAATGAAGTGCAAAGCACTGAGGAATCTGACCCTTAACCCTGCTGCTTAGGATTGTGGCTGTGTAGGCTGTAGGATGAAGAGGAGCTGAAAACACTCAAACACAATGTGATTTTTTGTACATTTGTCCAAAGGTACACTGCTGCTCAGAGGTCTGGGGTCACCTGTTATTATGGCCACCTTAGTCTCTTTCTGCCCTTTCAGTTGTCAGTCTGGTTGAACCAAGTGGCTCTTCAGAAACTTATACGTGAGGTCAACGTTTATTTTTATTTATACAGCCTACGGGTTGAACCCTTGCACAGCATTTTGTTCTCTATGTACAAAAGGATACTTTTTTTTTTTTTGCAAAGCCTTCATACAAAATAACATCTATTTTTACATCTACAAGAGGACTTTCCTGCAAAAAATATCGTTGTCTGACTGATCCGAATCAAGCTTTTGAGGCAGGTGACCCCAAACTTTTGAGCGGTAGTGTATAATAATAACAGAACAGTTTTTAATCTCAACCCATGTTTTTACACTTACCTATTTAAAAAGCTTATTTCAGATTCTGCACAGGAAAGAAGTGGAGGTGAGACACAACGCAGGGAACTTTACTGAACAGGTTTGTGTCTTCGTATATCTAAGGAGTTCTGTAAATGTCTTTGCATTGCACAGCTCCTTCCTTCTTTCCTTTTTTCTTCCCACCATTGGACCCTAGTTTGAACTCCCAGTTACTTTCATTTTTTTAGGTTTAGTTTGAAACTGAGAAAGCCGGTAAAGGTACGCAGAACAGCCTCAAAAGTAACTATGAGGTACTAACAAAAGACCAATGTGCTTTGTCACCATGAGGTCTGTTAAGCCACCCTTTTTTAATCACTGCTGACCTATGTTTTATATATTGGTAGGTGTTTAAATATATATTTACACTGTATTTTACTTCTGGTCATTCCTTTGGTTGACACTCCATTTAGGTCTTGATCTCAATGACTTTGATGAGTGGGAGGGCCTTGTTGGTGTGTGTCGTCGGTGTGAGCGGTTTACTGTACAGAGGAGGAAATAAAAATGCAAACAAATGTTGTGAGGTTTACTTGGACATTTGACTATAGCCTCTCAGTAAGATTAAACGAATAAGAACATTCCAGAAATGTTGGGAATTTCTCACCTGTAAACAACCTCTGGCTTGTTCTCTGAGACTGTCAGTGGTGGAGGGTCCTGGCCTGCCAGGAAGTACTCCATGTGGTCATGCATTTCTCTGTTCTGCAGACACAAAGGGAATAAAGACATTAAATTGTGCATCCTCTTCCTTTGGCTTCTTCTTCTAGTGCAAAAGCACATATGCAATTACAGAGCAGTAGCATAAGTTTTACGTGCGAGAAAACCTTTCAGATTTAGACAGGACAAGTGTTAGTCTTGAACAGAAAGGACAACTAAAAAGACAAATAACATACTATATAAAAAGGCAGTGAAAGATTCAGTTATAGCAATAATAAACCAAAGTAGGACAAAGCCTTTAGTGGATTAATTCAGATTATTACTGCAGTTATATAAGGCTCCTGACCTCAGCTTCCAGGAAAGCCACCTTCTCCTGCAGGTCCCTGATGACCCGATCTCTCTCTTGGATGACGGTGCGGGAGTTCTGCAGCTGTATTATTCACAAAACAAACAAGCACAAACAAATAATGTGAGACACTCAGGAGAAACACAGCTCACTTTCCCAATAGGAGCAGATGCAGTAATCACTTATTCATGACAAATGAGTTTTGTTTCACTGCACGTTTCCGCTTGGCTCCACTCCCTCATATCAATTACACTTTATGGGTCCGCCTCCTCAAAATCTAATTTCCTTATTAATGGCTTCCTGTGCATTTGTATGCACTGAAGAGTTCATTTGCATTGTGTGTGTGTGCGTGTGTGTGCGCACCTTGCACTACTAGTCATCCTGCTTGTGTGCATAAATACCTGTTCGATCATGTGGCGAACTTTCCTCTGCTGACTCTTTAACATGTCATCTAGGTGATGAATCTTTTCCTTCAAGGCGGCCACCTCCTTCTCCAGCTGTGCACTCCTGCAAACACACAAATATATGAGAAAACTCATGTCAAACTAACAGCAAAGTATAAAGCCATACAATAAAACAAGTTGCAAGTTATGTTCTGTAATTTTGACTAGAGAATGTTATTTACATGACGTTTATCAATTCTCGCATATTAGAGGATATAAACATTGATGGATTCACTTATACCGTAAAAGAAGAAACAATATTGGGTTTCCTTATGACTTGGCGTGTTAAAAACAAAAACTTCTACTTCTTATTTGGACCAATGATTGTACTTATCACTTTGTTTCCCAACTCACCTCTGCTCGTTCTCCCCCCCTTGCTCCCTGTCTGCTTTAAGCTGCAGCAGCTCAGCCTCCCCTGCCGCCATCTTGTCTTTGAGGATGCCGCTCTCAAGCTCCATGCTTCCCAGCAGCCTCTGCAGCTCCTCCACCCGCTGACCCCTCTCCTCCGACTGCTCCTCCACCTTCTGCAGCCGCTCAGACTGCTCAGCCAGACGGACGCTATACTCATTTGACTCTGCCTGTGAGGGGAGTCGCAAAGTAAGGACTTAGTAAGCAGTGATGGATACACTATTAAAGGCCCTGCACTCCCATTAGGTACAAAACATCCGTAAACTGTAATGGTTGTTTAAAAAGATTAGAGTTTGGCTAATAATGTTTCCATTCCCCCTTGTTTTCTCTTCTGAATACATTTGGCTGACCTGGAGGTTTGTTTTATAATCTCTCATACTGTCTGACTGCTTGTGTTTTCAGATACCTTTTTCGTAGCAACTTTGCAAGTCCACAAATATAAGCCCCACATTTAACAAACTGAAATGATCCTTTAAGTTGGGGGATTAAAGTTCCCTGCACATCCACAGTCAACTGACAGAGGTGTTTTTACTAATGTTGCCTGATTAGATCTCGACTTACTTGATGTCCCTTCATCTCTGGTTAGTTTCTGTTTGCATGTTAGGACTGGACTACTCACTGTTACCTTAGCTTTAACGTCCTTACTAGTAATGAGCTGTGTCCCAAATTCTTACTAGATATTAATTCTAAGCAGGTTTTTAGTATTAACTGTGTCCACATTAGAAAAAGGGACTAAAACTAGGTGCAAAAAACATTTTAGTTACTGAAATAAAAAAAGATTTTCTAACTAGACCAAAAAAACAACCTACAACTAACTGTGATATTGTGTACTAAAAAATAAAATAAAAATATACAGGATGTCTGTTTTAGTCTTCAATCAATCTATCAATCAGGTCAAATGTGTCAACACAACAAGCATGAGAAAGCATTGGTGCATATGTTTATTGAGACTGGGATGTCTATATGATTGTGTGTTTGTATTGTAATACCTATTCTGAACTTCTTAAACCCGACAAAAAACTAAAACTAATACTGAAACTAATAGTAAAAATTTTAAAAACTAAACTAAAATGAGCAAACCCACTCTGGAAACTAACTGAAACTAAACTAAAAACATAAGTTAAAAGAAATAAAACTGAAAACTAACACAACTATAATAATAAATGGTATGCATACTAAAACCTGTTCTTTTTACGTGTGCTGTTAATATACACTATACTCCCACAATGCAATGCAAAAAGGAAAGAGAAGAAGCCTGTGTGCAGTGTCCCAACATGACCCAACAGATGCAGTCTGTAGAGCAAAGACCCAAACAGTGGAGGTTTACCGGATGAGAGATGAAATCCAAAGATAAAACCGACAGATAATGAGGATGATTAAAGAAACAAGAGAGCAGCAGCGGAGTGAGTCATAGCTGCAGACAGGAAATCGTGTCATGTTACTCATCTCGTGAGACAGACCTGCAGTCTCTCCTTCTCCTCCTGATGCCTCTTCTCCATCTCCTTCAGCTGCGCATACAGACGCCTGGTCACCTCCCTGAGCCTAACACTCTCCTCCTGATTATCCCCAACCTGACAGAGACAGAAAGTGACGTGACCAATTAGGGTTAATCTGGCAAACGTCTTGAACCCGAGGGCAAGGAAGGAGCTAACAAACAGATGAGAGAGGCTGCTGATAGGCTCATTTTCTACATGTTTAAAAGATTTGGTCTAGCCCGAGTTAAGAAAAGCATTTAGCTGGAAGTTTGTTAAATTGTTTCAGATTGAGATAATCTTTTCTCTCGGGGCTGTACTTTAGGTGAAATACTTCCCGGTCAAACAATGCACTTTGCGTAGCTGCATAATTTGACTCTCACTCAGAATGGAGGGCAGAGTAAATTGACCCATGCTTACCTACATGACACACATACACACACACACACACACACACACACACATCACTGAGTATGGATAGTCACAATACACCCCCCACCCCTTGCTCTGACACTACTTCCTCTATAGATAATGGTGTTGTGTTACAGGAGATGTTATGATGTGTTGAGTCTGAGAATAATGCATGGGAAATCCAATATCGTGCGTGTGTGGGCGAACTATTACTCAGAGTGGAAGTGAGCCTTTGCACTGTGTGTGTGTGTGTGTGTGGTAAGCATTGTCATCCGTTTCAGAGAGCCTGGCACCATTTTCTCTGGAACAGCAGGCAGTTGGCTAGTGTGAGTGGGAAACAGCTGGAAATCCAGATATTTCTTTTTTGCATTATGAATGTTATGCCTGTCATTTAAATAGATATTTGGATGCATTCAAACCAGTTTCAGCTGAAATTGGCTCCTGCCATTCCCTGTGGTTCATTCATATGAAACTGATGAATAGTCAAATCATACAAGCCGCAGCAAACACTCTTATGAAGACGGTGGAGGTTGAATTGTGATTAGCTTACATGAGTGTCTGACTCAATGAGGAAAGTGTTGCCATTGGTGACGACTGGTTGACTGCTGGGCATGTTGACTCTGAAGCCATTGACTGGATACTGAAGAAGAAAGCAGCAGCTGGTTAGTGGAGTTGGTGCTTTAGTTCTGCTTTTACTCACAATTATGTACGAATACTAGAGAGGCAGAGAGAGATCATTGCACTGCAACAAAACACAAGCAGATGAAGGAAAGGCTCTTCAACACTTTGATTGCCCTTCAAGTCCTACAGTTATTGTTGTAATGCATTGTATTCTTGTTTAAGCCAAGAAGCTGTGGCACGTCTACAGTTTTAGTTTTTAGTTTTTCCTGCATGATTTCTGTCTTAGACTCAACAGCATCCCTGTATTATCCTGTTTTTGTTACACTTCCTGTAACATTTATTTTATTTTATTTATTTTGAAAGCATTTTATTGATGTTTTCTTGCTCTGATTTGTCAAAATTTTGCCTGTCTTTGATTTAAATCTTTTGTAACTGTGTATAACTTTGTGACTAAAGTTCTATATAAATAAAAATAATAAAAAAGTGTTTCATATCTATTTACAACAGTGAAACTGAGTCACACCACAATAACAATTTCCAGGGGACACTAAAGCTGATTAACTAAGCTAATAATTAATTTAAGGCTGATGCAAGATGTAAAGTCAATATATTTAATAATCACACAATCAGATGTTAAAACTAAAATGAAAGTCATTAGCTCACTTTCATTATTGGTGAGAGGTGGAAGAGGCCAATGTGCTATGTCCACTGTGTTTATCAAGTAATTTTACATCAATAAAATAATAGTTTGTTCTATACAAATACTGATCACATTTCCCAATTCCTCAAATTGCTTGTTGTTTTTAATTGACAGTAATGTAAAACAAGTGAAAAGCAAAAGCAAATCTGCACATATAGAAAAGCTACAACCAGCAAATGTTTGCTAAACAAATGACTTAAAAGATAAAACAAGTATCATAATTACTGTCAATTAATTTTCTGTTGTTTTCTGACCAAAAGAATATTTCCTGCTACTACATTACTAAATTCAGAAAAACTTGTTGATGCAGGGGGCGTGTACCTTGTTGTTGTTAGTGTTCTGCCTGGCTGCCATCTGCTCTCTCAGAGTCTTCAGACAGTACCTCACCTATAAAGAAAAACACATGATGCATTACAAAAACATGTGTTATGCAGAAAGACTACTATACCCTTCACCTTATTCAACCCAGCCACGTAACATTATCCTAAAAGAAACACAGACACTCTAATGTTCTCCACCAGCGGCTGAATGTTGACTCATTGTCTATATGAAGAAAACTGTCTGTCGCACACTGACCTCCTGAATCTGTGACACCTCATCCGTCAGCATCTTGACACTCTCTCCTGTCTGTGGACGGGCTTCAAGGAAAACCTGGAATGTTAGATGGTACAGGTTAGCTCACAATTAATTCAGATAAGCACGAAGGGTGGACTGGCTCATACACATACTAAAACTATAATAAACAAACACAATTCAAGCTTACATACTTTAATTATTTCAACTTTTTCTTCTGTGGGAGAGATGAGTTCAAGTGTTTCTTCCTTCTCTTCTGGTTTTTGTGGCAGCACTACTGCTATGCTGTTCTCCTACATTCAGTCAAAAAAAAAAGAATAAATGTCCCATCCTATACTTCCTTCTTTCATTCAGTAAACAACACAACAAAACAGTTTTTCCTCTTTGATTTTGTACCTTGTTGCTGTGTCGTGCCGAGGTGCAGCCTGACTGATCCTGATCTTGTAGAGTGAGTCTAAACCGCCTGCGACGGTCCTGAAATGAAACATGAGAGCATAAGAGGAACTAGACGACTAAAAGGAGTGGGGTGGATTATGAGAAAAACAACCAATGAAGAGAAAGGAGAGGAGCTCAAACTGAAAGTCATCAATAAGAAAGAGGGTGGAGCAGGGAATAAGGGTACTTTTAGGCCATAAAACTTCCCCACACAAGTTCCTCTGCTCTGTGGATGCCACACACAGTCACACAGTGAAGCCTAGCAACCAACCCTGAGGAGACATTTCCATTGCATCCTTGGGCACAGTCTGGTGATTATGACCACTCTACCACACTCTCTACTGGCTGGAGAAAATGAAACCAGTCCAATCCAGTAGGGGGTCAAAAATACTAACACTCAAAACATCCGTGACTGCTGAGTCACTCTCAGCTCAATTTTGTCGCCTTAGCAACAAAAAACAGATCATGTGAGAATTGTCTGCATCTTTGACAACTTCACTTTAAAATCTAAAAGTCTTTACAAAACATAGTTTGGTCAACGAAAACTCCAGTTCTGGAAAAAAACAGATGGTCTGATTTACTTTTGGCCCACAGGAGTGGATATTTATTTTTTCTATTCCAAAGGCATGTGTACTCTATTCTTTCTTGTGGGTATGTGTACTATATTCTAGTCATGCCTCAGTGAGAGAATGAGGGAGGTTGTTTGTTGCTTAAATTTTTTACCAGTAAACTTTAATTCAGTTTAACAAGGCTTTAATATTGGAGGTTATTTCTCCCAGATCCACTATGATGACTCATTCATAGCATGTAATTTTATAAAGTCAGCCTTTAACTGTGCCCTTTGTTTGGATCCTGATTTCTTTATAGCTCTTTTTATTTGTTGATCACAAGTGGTGTTTAAAGGGGCGCCAGCCTCGATTAATGCCGTATCATATTTTCCTGATAACATGGCGACAGTATGCTTTCACTGCTATAATCAACATGGCACAGTCCACAATGTTCCATGTTGATTATAGCTCTTTAGTCAAAGTTCACATCATAATCCAGAGCTATTGATTTGTTTCATATTGTAGAACTACATCTGAGTAGAGCACGTAAGATAATCCACTGAAAATGGCTTGATGTAGGCAGTAGGAAATAGGTAGAGCATATCATTTTACAAATATTTTTTTAACTGTGAGACCAAACACTGTTCAGACTTTATGTTTCAGAGACAAACAAACAACCCCCAGTGGTACCCCCATGTTTGAAAAGACGCTGCAAAAGGGCCTTCTTTGATGCCCTTATGGTAGATAAAACGTGCTAAAGTGCCCTTCCAGTGGAGAAAACATGAAATGTCCTCTAGGTTGCTGATCCTAACCTGACTTTCTGCTCCTCTAACAGCCTGAGTCTGCCGCTGTTTAACAGAATATCTCAATTAAAACATGAGATTAGACTTAAAAACTCTCAAATTAAATTCCCTTAAACTCAGCTAACTAGATATTTTAAATTGTTTTTCAACAGTACAACCTTTCCCCAGGGCAAACATATACTTAATCCTCCTTGGCCACACCCATTAAAGCAAGTGGAGGTATATAACCCCTCTCTGAATGTGCAAAGAAAACAAACCATTAGCCCCTTTGACAAATCAGGTGGAGAGTGAGTTATGTAACATGGTTGATTTTTATCTTATCTCCAACCTAAATTATTCTTAATCCTCTAAACGTCTATGTTCATGTATGCAATCATGTGAGTCTGTACTTGCTGACATGTATATGTGTGTATATACAGTAGCTTGAATGGGAAGGACTGTAGCTGTTGAATGCACTGTGCCTCCACCCTACAGTACACAAGATGAAGACTGAATCGATATTATCAGTCATTATTCAGGGCGGGTGCCGATAATATTTAATTCAAAAGGTCTTCATTGGTATGAGCAAGCTTTTTTACTTTGTGGTCCTGCTGTGGGTTCTATCATCAATGGCCTTAATTAAACTTTGTGTGGGCGTCAGCTACAAAGTAAATTAGACAGCAATCAGACCAAAAGCCAAGCTGTGCAAATGACACATCATTGAAAAGCCAAAAGCAAAAAGAAACACGAACAAAATGTCCTGTAGATGTTTGGACTATAACTATTGATTTTATTTTTAGACTTCAATTACAGACTTGGTAGATGGTAATAGGAGGGAATCACACAAATATTATGTAATAAATAAATATATAACTTTATGATAACTTATTAAAAAGGCTGATATATATACCAATAAATACGAAGTTACTACTACTAAGTTGTTTTTTCCTATAGCATATATCTGTGGTGCAGTAAGGTGTTTACAGCTAACGCTCTCTGGTGTCACAGGGTTGGAAGCTGAAACTTCACTCACAAAAAAGGTATTTTTACAGGTTTTGCAGGCAGGTGTTTCTCTTCCATGGTAAATAAAATGCAAGAGAAACAGATGTTGTTTCCTTGTCTTGAATCACGCTAAAGGACGTCAAAATTTTCAAAAAATCTGTGTCATCTGCATAATATTTTACACTGACACTCTTGAAGTACTTGTTCTGTAACTTCATGTTTTAATGTCACGTTGTTTGGTATATCACTGAGACATTTTGTCACACAGTACCGACCTGTTGTTGTAGTGCAGGAATGATAAAGAGGCCCTGACACGTTCTCTGCATACCACAGTCTGTTGTCAATGTTGCAATAATCACTTCTATATGCAAATGACCTGGCACATGTAGTTAATACCTCTTAGGAGTGCCTTTAATCAGGAAAATTATCTTTCATTATCGAGCCAGAATATTGTTCCTCCAAGTTCCAAATTTGACATTTATTAGCTAGGACAACCAGACAAGCTTCCTTAAATCAACCACTCCTTCTTTCTTGGGAAAAGCCCTCTTCTATATCTGGCTTCCAAGTAACACCATGACACCCCTGTGTGACAACTAGGCACAAAAGCATCGCCCACAGGGGCCCAGAATTTATAACTGCAAACTGTTGCGTTTTTAATGATATTGAGCAATTAATAGTCATACGATTCCCGGTGCCTGCAGATCATGATGAATCATTAAACATGTGCAGAATGGTAACAACATATTAGTTAATCAACATGATAAATATAGTTTTATCATGTTTATAATTTAACCATATAATTTCAATGTGTATGTGCATATTGTCTGTCTATTAAAGGCTGTCAGTTACAGGTCTCATTTGAGCATTGTTGTGTTGTGCCTGATTCTTATTAAATGTCAAGAAAATTACTGAAAGATATCAAACATAATCAAATAAAAACATACTGAAGAAGATAAAACGTGTGCTTTGATTGTTTTGTTCTGATTATGTGTGTGTTTGTGCCACTCTGAGACATAAATAAACCTGCGTGTGAATGGGTGGGAACTGTTTATGGTTTTGGAGTGTGTGTGTGTGAACATGCCTACAATAAATCATGTTGACAGACATACAGAGCAGTAATGTATGGCTTAGGAACAAAGAAGGGCAACCCAGCAGGTCACATGTGGGTAACACATTTGGTTACTTACGTAAGCAACCAATTCTCAGCTTTGCAAGTCAAACTCAGGCTAAATGATTTTGCTTGAATGGCAGTTCTTTGTGTAATCGGGGCGTCTGAAAACCAAGCCTCTGCAGTGACAGGCAGGCCAATATTTCACTGAGGGATCTGAGGGAGCAACAGCTCGAGGGCTTCTCTTGAGAAGAGACACACAGAGGATTATAGGACAGACACACCCTGGGAGGTACTGTCCACGGAGACACAATGTTCTGCATCTCACCACACGCTATTCTTCTGTATTTTCTGGAAGCCCTTTTATTTACATTTCAGTAATGTAGCTTGACTCATCCACAATAAAAGCACAACTGTAGAAGAGGTCACAGATAATAATTTATAAGCAGTATCTGCAAATGAATCCTTAACAGTGCCCAGTGCTTATGCCACGTTCAAGCTTTTTCATGCGCTGTACAGGGTGACTATATGGAGTATCCTCCTTCCCTGGGAACAATCTCGCTGCGGTTGCTTCTTTTTTTTTTACACACATAAAAAGCAACAGCAGCATGTTTGGGACAAACAAAAGAAATATACGAAACTGCAGACTACAATGTTGCCCTCATAAGATCATATTATGGTGGTACAGACACTACATGCTGAACATCAAAGCAATATCTTCTTATTATCAAAAGTTTCACCAGATTTCAGATAAACAAGAGTTCTGATCACGTTGTAGTCGACAAATATCGCAGAGGTCAACTGTGCCAACAAATGATTATGGATGAAAAAGAGGTTGATTAGGAACCACTCCTACAAAAGGTGCTTATTAGGTGCTATTACAGACCAAAAGGCCTGTACATGTGATCATGTTCCAAGGTGAAATTAAACATTGAATCAGTGCATACTTTTGCAGTCCTGGCCTGTTTAACTAATATATGAGCAACTGTTAATTGTTATGTAACTCCTGATGTAACAACTCTTACATTCATGTATTGACAAGAAAAACACAACAGACTTGATTCAGAAAGTGTGTGCAAAGACAAACGTGAGGATATGAGGGTTATTCTAAGGTTATACTGACATATTACCACAACTTAATACCACATTTGTTCTCTGCTAGATATAAACATGTGCAAACTAAGATTTCTAATGTAATCATAATGAGATCATCCCTTCAAACTTCTGAGTGCCACTCTACCAGGCTTGTCTGAGCAGCTCAGGGAACACTTCATTTCCATTTCTATATAATTTCCCACCTCGGAAGAGTAACCTTAAATCCACTTAGAAAACACTGCAACATTGGGTTTTCCAGTTGTCTTATATGACACGAGTACAATGTTTATATATAAAGTCATTTCATGATACAATCAATCTCCAAGTTAAATAAATCGAATGAAAATGGCTTTAGAGATAATATCAGTAGAAGTAATTGAGGTGTTCAGCTGTTGCTACATTACAGTTGACTGATTTTCCCTCTGAGGTATGAAGCTACCTTGATCAGATTCTCACAATTTTGATAAGATCAAAAAACAAACTTATAGTTAAACACTCGTGCATAACACTGCAAGACAACAGCTTTCTATTGGGGAAACCATAAAACCGTAAATGAATTTATTGCAATGAAATCACTTTTTTTCATACATAGGCACAAATAAAGCATACCGGTTCAGTGTTTAATGAACTGTAACAATCATTTTTGAAAAAAAGAAAACTGCATTTGATTGAAACAATGAACCGATTTTGATAAGTCAGTAGTATTTTAACATTCATGTTCTGTACATCTATTAACCATTGTGATCAATTACATTTTTGATTAAACAATAGGCTTTACTTTACTTAACAAATCAGTACAAGCCTCCTCACTGTCTCACACCTAATAAAAGTGTCTCCGAATTATATTAAATTGACTGGTGTGAAACTATGAAGGCAGAAAAAAACAGAGGTGCAAATGAAGTGTTAAAATAAACATTCTGGTAAACAATCTGCCACTGGACGCACCTACAGTACTCAGTATCTCACAGCTCAACTCTTTAGCTGCGACAGAGAGCCCTGAGGGAGAGTATGTTTTCGGTCTCTAGTGTCCTGCTTTTGTCATATCAGGTAATAGAGCAGGGGGACAGTGCAGTGCTAAAGCTTCTTTACACATTATTACTCCTCTGTAACTCCTATCTACTGGTTCTGAGGTGGGCGACCCATTAAGGGATTCAAAGTAAAGTGCAATAGAGCACAAATCAATAACACACAGAGTGAGATACAGTAAGGCTGATACTAACTGTTATTTTCATTGTCAGTTCATTTGGAGCTTGTTTTCTTGATGAATTGATTTAAGGTGTCATCTTTAAAATATAATACTCAAGGTTACATCTTCAAATGTCTTGATTTTAACAACCAACAGCCCAACATCCAGAAATGTTCACCTTACTATCACATAAGAAAAAGAAACTGGGGAATATTTGGCATTTTGCTTGAGTAATGACGTCAACAATTAATCTAATTATCAAATTATGACTATTAATACTCTGACTAATCAATTAATTAACTTTCAGTTGCTTCAACTGTAAGGTACAGGGATGTATGACTAAGTTGAGTAGATGCATAATAAAAGAGAATAGTACATAAGAATAATGTGGTTTAAAGTATAGTAGAGAAGACCTGAATAGTGCAACGGAGTAGAGCAGAGTGACGCAGAGTAAAGTGCAGGATGTAACATCCTATTACCTCTGATAGTCAGAGAAAGAAATTAACAAGACTGCAAATCAGATCATCTGTCCAACATGACTCATCTTTACTGATTTAGAGGTGACCTCACTGCTTCACCTCAGTGTCTGGGCTACAAGAACATCTTCATACAGTCAGTGACCTCCCACAATCAATACAGGACCATCCAATCCCTGTTATGGAGCTACAAACTCCTCCATGCTTGTTTACAGATTTGGAGATGATATCACTGCTGTACTCTGCTGACTGATAACAAAGAACAACAAATTAAGGATCAACCAGACATAAAATATGAATATGTACGACTTTATTTTGTGTATATTCACAGATAGTAGATATCTATTTACACCAACACCAGTTTCTAAATTCCTATTTCAAGTGCCAACAAAGATCACAACAAAGTGTGAAATCCATCCATCTCCGAGTGCAGTCAAAACAAAGTAGCTGTATTGCCAAGCAACGTGGCTACACGCGTATAAATGATAAGAAAAGTCATTAAACACTTAAAACAACATGGCAACAGCTCCAAACAGTCACACCTCGCACATGTTAATTATAAATTCTAACCTTGTGATTAATGCCAACAGTATGTGTCACCAATACCACAAAAAACTGAATCATTTTTCCCAGAGCGCAAGAAGTAACTGACAAATGGGAGGTGACTCTAAAAAGTTTTAAAGTTGCATTTTATCTATACTCAAGTCAACGCATTGGCAATGTTTGTATTCAGGTTGTCTGTGCCCAAATAAAATATAATGAAGATGAATTCACATAAATTCAGATTGAACAAAATTATGTTAGTCTTAAGTGCCTTGTTGTATTAATCATCCAGTCCATATAAAGTAAGTGAATGTCTCCTTTTGTATATAATATTCTCAAGTATCTCTTTTTGGACTATATTAATCTGTGTGTGGGAAACTAGCTCTTCATTTTAAGTATTACAAGTTCACTATAAAGACATACCCGAATGAATCATATAACAAACAATGCTATTCATAAAGCGGACAAAACTACAATCACCATACCAGCATGTACTTTACACCCTACAAACCAAAACGCAAACCCTGTACTTTATCTCACATAAGATCACTCTGATATCTACCTGGGCAGACGAAACTGTACGGGACTCTTCCAGATGATGTTCAGGCAGCTGTGATCCACACTGTCTGTGTTCGTGTGACTAAGTGCGTGGGAAGCCACGGCTGTCTTGCCTTACATGGCTGGGTGAGGCTCCACCAGCTGCCCAACCCTTTTTTCCTCCAGATTGTTCTCCAGTTCAGAGAGCTACAGTGCCAGTCCAAGAAGGCAGATAGTTGTTAGCCTCCCCTGCAGGACTGCGATGCCAAATACACAATGGAAAGAACTGGAGGGAACATTTCTCTGATTAGATTATATACATTCCTGAGCAAAGAAGTTTGTGGATGGTGAATTTAAACTGTATAACACTGTGAAAGCCATGTTTTAACTTTATAGTTTAATAATCAGACTGAATTCACAGTCTCAATCAATCAGTGTAAATGAGTGACTAGATTAAACCTAAACAGTTAGGTGCAGCCTCAAATGTATGCAAATATACACCTGATATATAACTTAACACAACTACATAACGTGACCAATAGATACAAATGTATATGAGATGATAGGTTAAACTAAGCAGGTTAGGGGTGCAGCTAAATGTTAGTGCAAATAATAACTAATATATAACTTAAAGCACAAATAATGTGACCAATTAGAAATAAAACTCTGGAATGAAGAAGGGTTCATTTATCTGCCACATGGTGACAGTGGTAGGTAGCAGCACTCTGAGGAATGTGTGTTGCGAGTTACATAAGAGAGATTAATGAAGCGTCTTTATATAACAGTCACTAGCACAGTGAGTGTGTGCAGTGTAAACAAAACTGTGCAAACAAAAGTCGAATGCCACAGTCCAAATACGTTCATGCTTGCGTCTGTGTGTCTCTAACTATCTGAAAGTCTCTTCGTTAAATGCTTTCATTAAACTCACATTATTGACATTATCTTAGATCTAACAGTTCATCATTTAATATGTTTTATTTTAAGTGTATTACAGGCTGCAACTAACAATTATTTTCATTATCAATTAATATTTTTTCCTATTAAAAAGTTATTGTTTCAAACTGTAACAATTAGTCAACTAGTAATTGATAGGTCAAAATTCTCTGGTTCCAGCTTGTCCAATTGTTTCAATGTCTTTTATGATAGCAAACTGAATATCTGTGTGTTTTGGACTGTTGCTAAGACATTTTAGAGACCAAGCGATTAATTGATTGAAAGACTAATGGAACAATGGGGGGAAAAAATCTTCGAATAGCTTGTGTTGTCAGACCAGCAAGTACCACCAGTAAAAAACAACAAAAGTTATCACATTTCCGAGGCTGGAACCACTGATTGTTGACTTTGTAATGGTTGGTAATGAAGTTCTGTCATATGACTAATAGTTTCAGTACTAATGTATTATATTCTAAACGTATGACATGGTGTGTCCTACATAACACAAACATGCATGTTTCTTTATTTTATACACAAAAAGCAGACTTCCAGTTTTTGCAGGTGTGTACCAAACATGCTGTTTTGTATAAAGATATTTGTATATATTTATGGTTACTTATCCTTTTGTGGATATGTGAGCAGTGCAAACATGCCATTTAACAATGTTGGTGTCTCACACAGAAGGCTTAGAGTGGATCTGTCTTATGTTGCCATGTAAGTATATTGTAGAGTAGAGAACACAACAATCCAGCTAAGCTATTTTAATAACCTCCTTGCCTGGACCATTCTTGCTCTTGCCAACATGTTCTCACGCCAACACACTTTAACTTGAATGTTATGTGTCAAGAAAGGACAATTTAACTCCTACTTGTGCTTAGGAATAAAATAGGTTTCCCAGTGGAAATGGGGGTTTGCAGAACAGGATGCAAAAGAGGTCAAAGCTCGTGTTTATGGTGAGATTATAGGGGGGGAAAACAAATGTGACCAAAATATGCCCCTTAGCTGTGTCCAAGAGAGTGTCCTTGCTGTGTAAAAGAACCAGTGAATCCATAGTATCCACCTGATGAAGTCAAGTTATTCCCCTCCACTCATTACAAATGCCACAAATTCATTTGACATGTGCGTATTAGTCTAGACATGACTGTGTATGTCTCCTCTACCTGCCAAAAATCTGTATAAACTAATGATCTGTTCATTCATGCCACCATCCTGGCACTGTGCGCATTTGCCATTATGACAATAACACTTATTGACTCAATGGTTTAGGCCAATAAATGACTTTAACTGTGATAAAAAAAAGTTATGTAACGTTTAACCTTTCATCTGACAAGTTCTTATCTGTGACACTTTGTAAACAGCCAATCACACTTTGGTATCTGCAGGTAAGTTTGTAATAACAACACTGAAACAAACTGTGACAGAGCAGGTTTTGTGGAGTTGGAGTTATAGAGTCAGATGCATTTTACTGAAATAAGATCTGGGGCAGAGAAAAACAAACATTATTTGACTGCCAATGAAAAGAGGATACTTCTGTTTACCTGCACAATCCAACAAGTCTTGGCACTTTCTTAATTCCTTCTTTGGAACTCCTGCAGTGGAATCTGTAAATACTACATTGTTTTCAATGTGTTTGTTGTTTTAATGGAGCCTTAACAAATGATCAACTTAATAAAGTTATAGAATGACACAAAATGTTTCTATTTTTAATCAATAAAAACGTGGATCGAGGGTACAATGATTGAATTTGTTTGAATTAGGGTGTTCAGACCTTGCTTGTTTAAACATATCAATTCATTCTCATCAAAAGTTACAGTGTGCTGTGAAAGTGCTAACACATCATGGTCTGATATGAGCTCCACACTACTTCTGAACAAGCAGAAAGCAGGTTAAAGTTCCAGTTGAAGTGCCATAAACACAGTGACCCACAGTAACTCTGTGAGGAAAGTTAACGATAAGCATACAGTAAGTGACGTTCAACTGACGCAACAAGTATTCGCATAAGTATTGCCATTTGGTGTTACTTCTCGTTCAGATAAAGGATATCAGGTAATAGACCTTTTTTCACATGAAATAGTAAACAGGAAGTGTTACCAATGACATTCATTAGTATCACTGGTAACACCTGCTGTGAAAAAGGTCTATTCACTTTGTAAATTACAGTCATTTGATTGAAATGGAGCCATGTCTTCAAGATATTACAAGACGAAAGTATGTGGAAGTGTTAATTTAATGCCACCAGACTGACAGCCCGAGGCTGGTGTCAGCCTCATCAAAGATCTAATTTCTAATAATCTAATTTGCTTTGAAACACACACACACACACACACACACACACACACACACTTAGGTTAATGCTTAATCACACAACATATGACACAGT